TATGCATGAGTCATATTTACCAATATTTACTATATTAGAAATAAAAATTGAGAAAATTAAAAGAGCATTCATTTATTTAAAATAACAATGGCCACATTATAATTTAACCCATTTCAATGAAAACAAAATATTTAGATATTTAGCTTATTGTTTTACTTTTCTGCAAATCTCTTTATTGCCTAGTTTAATGTAACTGAAACTAGATCCTCAGATCTGCCTTTTTATGCTATTTGTTGCAAAATGTGGTTTTGGTGGAAATACATGAATAAGAAATGTTGTTGCAAAAGGGAGGAGTATTTTAATAGCTTTTCTAGATAACTATGGTTATTCTCTGATAATATAACAAAACAGCATGGTAGTTTCTTACAGGTTCCTTACAAGTGAAATATGAAATGTCAATGATCTTTTTGTACTTTGCTACATTAAACCCCATGTCCATCTTGCACTTTCAATGAATCTTTTTACTCATTTTGTAACATCATCAATTGTTCATTTGGAAAATACTGATTCACTAACTTATGCAGATATTCCAAATGTTTATGCATTTTAGAAACTAAATATATTAGAATATTCTAGAAAAAATATGACATCACAAGCACACATTCCATTTACTATCAGAATGATGATGTCATCATGCATCATAATGCCCCTGTTAAACTCTACTATATATTTGTGAGAGAATGACAGTTAAAAAAGGAGAAACTATTTCTCATTACTATGAAAATAGTTCTAATTATGCATATCCACTGAAAGGGTCTTACTACCAGAGAATGCTTTTAAGAATAGCTGATATGGTATGATATGACCTATCAGATAAACAAAGAAAGTAAAAAACTTACCATCTCACTTAAAAAGCAAAACAAAACAAAAACAAAAACACACAACCACATACAAAAAACAAAAACAGCAAAATACAAAAATATATTCCCAGTGGCAATTTAAAATCTTTCCATGCAGGCAAAAATAGGCTTATAGAAACACCTAGCCTTTAATGTGAAGCCATTTCCATTTTCTGGAGTTTGAATACCATTAATTAGGAGTATTTAAAAATACACATTTGAGTAGTGAGCTCAAAATGCTCTATTCACAGAACCCCCTTCCCAAGATATATATTTGTGTGTGTGTGTGTGAGAGTGTGTGTGGTGGATTGAACACCCCAAACATTATAGGTAAACACTGAGCTATAGCCATATTTATTTTATTTTGATATAAGATCTGGCTAAGTTGCCCAGGCTGGTCTCAAATTTGTGATTTTCTTGCCTCAGGCTCCCAAGTAGCTGGGATTACAGGCTGCTCCACCAGGACCAGCTCCCAAGATAAAATCTTTGAGGAAACAGGTGGGTGACAGAACCACATTAAAAATATTTTAGAGGGCTGGGGTTGTGGTTCAGTGGCAGAGCACTTGCCTCACATATGCGAGGCACTGGGTTCAATCCTCTGCACTACATAAAAATAAATAAACAAGGGTTGGGATTGTGGCTCAGCGGCAGAGCACCCACCTAGCATGTGCTATGCCCTGGGTTGACCCTCAGCACCACATAAAAATAAATATATTAAAAAATATTTTAGTACTGGGAACTACACACTTATGGATCAAGTTTTTTTAAAGTATTAGATAACACTCTCAAGTGAAACTGGTTATGGATTTAGGGAACTGCTAGATAAACTTCTGTGTTCTCTTTTTTATATTATTACAGGCTTTTGAAAATGGGAGGATGGGGCAGAGCGAATGCATATTTTGGAAAAAGCCACTTGATGAATAGTTTTTAGTAGGAGGATGACTATAGGATGTTTATTTTGCAATACATTCAAGGGAAAAATTGTTTTAGGCATCTTCTATTTTTCTATTCAGTTTCCCAATGTCTTTCCATTTTTTTTCTGGTTGCACAGGTCCCACTGTGTGGACGTCATCTGGGAAATACTCTGACTTGATTACCTATATTCCCTTTCCTTTATCCTTTAGCAAACAAACACCCTTTGTATTCTGTCAGTGAAGTCTTATTTTAGATTCAGTCCAATCTGTGATTAAAGTGACATCAAGCTGATTAAAATTATTTGTACCATGAATGTTGGAGAGTTACCAAGTGTTTAAGAACCAAGTATTAAGGGGTGGGGATGTGGCTCAAATGGTAGTGTGCTGGCCCGGCATGTGCAAGGCACTGGGTTCGACCCTCCACATAAAAATAGATATTGTGTCCACCTAAAACAAAAAACAAAATTATTAAAAAAAAAACCCAGAATTAACTGATGATCTGAACATATAAACTTGCAAAGGGATGACAACGTATAGTTCTTGAACAGACTATTTAGTTTTCCATACTAAAAGCCAATAAGCCATTTAAATTTTAATCTAATTATCCTGAGTACCCAGCCTATAATTGAAGGGCAATCCTACTAAAACAAGAAATGCGATGTGAGGTCATCATTACATGGTTGTTTGGAAGTCCTATAGCTTTAAATATTAAAGTGAAAGTGGGTGAAGAACTAGGAGGATGGCCCTGATTTTTACAAGATATTTTATTTAAGGCCCTCGGAAAATTCTGGGATTTTTTTCAGTTGTCTCTCTTGACATTCCATTTATTCCCTAGATCGACTTAGTTTTTTTCTTAAGTAAACTTTAATGTCACCGATCTTCGAGGCTGTGATTAATAAGTGTATTTTTAGGTTAAGATAGATCCTGAAATTTGGGAGTACGTGAGAGTAGTTAACCTAAGGTCATCTCTGTCCTCTTTTGCGGGTTGCAGTTGTTCCCATCCCGGGCTTGGCTGAAGGCTGAAAACGGGGTGATTTAGTAGGTCATCCTCCTACTAAAAACACATTATTCCTCCCAAAGTCCAGGAGATGCTTGTTCGCTCCATGACCTTTCACTTAACAGACAGGCAGTGAGGCGTCTGCGGAGAATCAGGGCCGAAGCCGGCAATTCGCCCAGGACTCAAAGCAACAGGCATGATGGGCGTGCCACCACTGGGAGAGCCTCAAGCGACAGCAGTGGGAGGAGCACGACTCCTCTCCTTTCTTTAACCCTTCTTCACAAAGTCCCACCCTTACCGGAAGCAAGGGTTTCTGCTTTACGCCACTTCCGGTGCGGAAAGGCGGACCCTGGCGGGAGCGAGTACGCCAGTGCGCGGCAACTTTGTTCCCGCCTCCCCTGCCCTCGCCGCCACTCACCTTCAGCTTTGTCGGAGCGTGACGTGCGTGCGCGCTCCCGGACTTGCGTCTGGGCTGAGGGGAAAAGCCGAGAGAGCAAGGCGAGAAGGAGGGGTTGTGGAGGTTAGGGCCCCACCACCAAGTCCCGTAGCCCTCCTCCTGACGAGGAGCGCAGAGGGAAGGGGAGGAGCGAATCGGGGTCGGCAGCTGCACACCCAGAGCTTCCTCGTGGAGTGGGGGGAGCGAAGGAAAGGGACAGCTCCGCTGCTTCTGTTGGTGGTGGCGAAGGAAGAAGAAAGTCAAGGCCCGTACCCACAGCCACAGACTCAGAAACGCCCCCCACCCCCATCTCCCCGGAAACAACCCCCCGCCCAGACCCAC